CGACTGGGTGTTATTAGTACCATTATTCTTCTCAGTCTCAGCAGCGGTAGTTGAGAGATTAATTTTGCCTCGTGCACTGCCTTTTCGTGTAATTGTTGACATTGATGTCGATGATTTTGTTGTTCTGGATCGTATTTGTGCTTCAGCGTTACTTCGTGTTTTGCCCATAGTATGTCTGATGCAGAGGACACTTGATATCGTGAGCTGAAAATTTCTCTGATGGCTCATATGAGCTGTTAACCAGCTCCAGCTCCTACTCATGTGAGGTGTTAACCAGCTCCAGCTCCTACTCATGTGAGCTGTTAACCAGCTCCAGCTCCTACTCATGTGAGCTGTTGATCAGCTCCTTTCATATGAGCTTGAAATGGTGTGCTAGCTCCCGCTCTCGGAACTGATATGGAACTGTCACACCCCTAGTCAATACAAATGGAACCAAATTATGCAATTTTATGATTCATTCATCTTTTTTTAGGTGTGAAAAAACTGACCATTACTTCGAAAAAATAGCTAAGAAACGAAAGAAAGATAATGTTTTCTCCATGAAATTTTTGAATATCTGGTTAAACTTTCTCGATAAGGGGGACTGCTGATTAATGAGATTTTCACAAAATCGATTTCTTAATTAGCTTTCTAAGGCTAATTAATAAGTGATATTACTAATTACAAAAAAAAATGAGTTTTCTGTGATACATTAATGAGTGGACTAAAGATAGATTTTCATGAAGAACTGATTTATATTTCTTGATCAAGTATTCGAATCTCTAATTAGCTCATTAATTAGTCTGTGAAAATTCATTAGTAAGAAATTTGTGATTAAGGCTCAAAAACCGTGCATCAAGTGATTTTTGTGTATGCCTAATATCGTCAGAATGTCGCCTCATTTATCAAATGCTAACTATCCATAGGAAAAGTTGTTTAGCCCAGATCCAAAATAAACAACTCATTCAAAATACTGAATTATGCTGTAGTATGAGAGAAAGTACGCAGTACTTATATGGAAGACTCATACCCTCACGCCCAGTACAGGATATGATTGTTCTGTATAAGTACCAATAATCGCATTGGCCAAGATTTTAAAAATTAAAATTCCCGTTAGAAATTCCATGAAGGTATTAAAAAATTTCAGTACGCAAAAAGATCAATTTCTGAAGAGATAAACAATTTTTCTCGTGTATCTATTAATTTTGTTTCTACTACGTGTTCTCTCCAACATTTTTCGTTACCTCAAATATCTGTGTGAAAACTGAACGGGTTACATAGAAAACAGCATGTACGCACGTGATATAACATATTAGAGATCATGCAAGTGTTCGGTAAGCAACTTTTTGCCTGTTTTGAACTCATACCCCTCACTATCCTCACAAGTAATTATTCGCCGTTCCTTTCCCCTGGATGATGTAAACATAAGAATTTTTTTGTAAAATTAGATTAGAATTATCTTCTAAGAAGAAAAAATATCTTTTTATTTTGTTTTAGTTTTTGTTGAACTTGAAAGAGAATAATGTAGGTTTTTAGATATAAACTATAACTTTTACATAATGAATATTTGATAATGAACATCTGAAGAAAGCTAACACTTCTGACGAGATTCTGGCTCATTCTTTTATTCTTAGCGAAGGTTTGTCAAACTTTCGGAATAACTTCCATGTTTTATACGTCATCGTTTTTTTTTCTCATTAATCTCTACAAGGAATATTCAAGATTTTTATAGAATCTATTGTTCTAGTCTTAAGAAACGTGATGTTTATTAAATCCATTTCTGTTAGTGTTTCCAATTGGTCGAAAAAAGTATGTTGGCTAATGAAAGTAGAAAAGTCCAGCAGGTAATGTCATCAGAAGAGTGACCACGTATCTGTCATGTTTGACTGATACCTTTTCCCCTAAACTCGCTTATGTAATGCATGAATGCTTCGTGACATTAGTCATGCATATGCTGTATACATATGCGCATCGATCAGTAAAACTAAAAAGATGAAAATAAATAGTTTAAAAGACGAAAATTGTACCATTGACATTAAAATAGAAAGTAAAACTTTCTGTTCATGAGACATGAATCAAACAATATAAAGAAAATACTTTGTCTATAAATTTGATTGATTTGATGAAATAAATATATACAATATATACGTATATACAATGTTTTAAAATTCAAGAATAGCAAATGTCTTCTTCATTCAAAATAAAAAAGAAGAGATGGCAGTGTTTTTTTAGATTAGTCTGATATTTGTTTATTTGTTGTTACTTCAGAAATAATAATCTCAAAAATTTGTAGATACTGCATCAAAACGACAACAACAAATCGCACTGATTTATTAATCACAAGAAAAAGTACACATGCATAAGGCGATTATCGAATATCGATAACACAAAGAAAATTTTATACAATAAAACAAGAAATAGGTGGAGACATTAATATTTACTAGAGAATTTATCAGGTAATTCCGAATTTTTGTACAACTATATATTGTGCTAGTTGTGTGTGTGTGTGTGTGTGTACCTGTATAGCGAGAATATTCTATCCTTCTATACATCTGTAACTATACATTAAGTCCTGATGATATACTACAGACACGAATAGACAGATTTTTTTAATATCATTTGCATTTGAAATTAATATGTGAGTTAAATATCGAAAAAAAATGATCAAATAAAAAAGAAACGAATAGATTATTCAAACAAATGTAAATTTAAGGAATATTACTAATTGACGTACTATCACGACGATACTTATCTAGATCAATTACATGACAAAATATTTGATGAACTATGTCCTTTCATGATCGACTGCTTTTGAAAATGTAATAAATTTAATTTTATTTCTAATTGATTATACATGTTCATCTGCTTATTTAATTCTTGTTCATACTCTTCTATCATTTGATACCGTTCATGGCTACATTTCTCAGTTATTTTTCGTAAATTTTTATTTTTTTCTTCTAGTTTATGGTGATCTTTCTTCAAATCAATATTTAGTCGTTGTAATCGAATATAATCTTTTGTTTTTGACATTAATTCATTGTAATCACGTTTAATTTTATCTTTATAACTAAAAGATAATGCAAATAAATTTGTTTCATTTGAAATTTCTAATGATGAAACTAGCTGATATAATTGTTGTATATGTAATTTTAAATGTCGACGTGAACATTGAACATGATGTTTATTTCCATTTCTGGATGTTTCATAGATAATATGATCACTTTTAAATAAACCTGATTGTTTAATACGATCGGATGTTACATATTTTGAAATCAATAGTTCTTTATCATTTAAATAATGTGGAACATCCAATATGCAGCAGTCAACTTGATCAAAATCCTAAATATTTAAAAAAAAAATTAATTTATTATTCACTAAGTAATTTGCAAAATTGTTGAATAAAATATGTACCATAAATTCTAGAACACAACTACGTTCACATCTCTTTTGTATTATTTTACAATCGATAATTCGACCGTATGTTCCAAAATAATCTCGAATATTTGTTTCGTTAAAATCCTCATCTATAACAGAGAAAAATAATTGTTACAAATCTTCGAAAATAATGCTCATTAAACTTGCCGTCGACATTCAAAGCAATAACCAATTGTTTTGATGAAATGAATCGTTCAAATTCTGGTCTTTCCCAAGGTAAATTTCGTTTTAAATAGAGACGATGTTTATCGATGAAATGTGGCCGAGTTTTCATACATCTATCGACCATAGCAGGAGATTCAAATGTTATGAAGCAAAAACCCTCTTAATCAAAACATAATATTCCACACTAAAGTCTATCTGTGCAATATCCGAAATCTTACTTTTTCGTTTATAACTCTTTTTAAATAGTTCACATTTGATTATCTGACCATATTTTAAAAAATAATTTTTCAATATTTGTTCATCAGCTATTGTTTCATTCAAATTTCCAACAAACAAAATATGATATTGTTTACTAGCTGACGACATGAATAAAACTATTTAAGAAGTCTAAAAAGAAATCTATACAATTTTATTATATAAATAACTCGAATTACTTGCACATAAATTTTTGGCGTGAGAACAGCTTCTATCTCATTTTCAGCGAAGTCTATCCCACCTGAATATTTGAGGCATTTTGTACCACCTCTTAGATTCGATCTCTCAGTGTATCACCTGAAAAGTTTCTACAGCAAAAAAGCGTACCACCTTACTTTTGTTTGAGGCACTGCACCTCAAACATCCCACAGGATAGACGCCCCTGCTCGTTATGATAACTTCTCTCATTTCATCCAACTGTATCTGATACAGAACTGTTCAGAAACTTATGTCTAGCCTATACTAGTCGATTTTGAAGTAAAACAAACAAATGGTTGTTGATTTGATCAGCAGATCGAAATCTTCACAAGAAAAAATAAAAAACCGCCAGTTAGCCAATTGTATGATAATGGAACGCAGAGATGTCGTTTCTTACCATTATTAATTGAAGAGAGGGCGCTGGTCGATAAAATTAATAGTTGTGATCAGGGTACCCAAATCTCCTGATTTGACTGGGAGACTCCTGATGAAAATTCTCCTGATTTCAGGAGCTGATTTTTAAGATTTTCTCCTGATTTTCAATTGTTTTCCTGCAAGAATTTTGTTTTTTCCAAAACTGAGATTATCAATTTCAGAAACAGAATTTCTGGATCAAGCGTCTACATAATTGTACATTGAAAGAGTCCGCTGTGTGCTTATCGAATGTTTTCATCACAAGAAGATGAGATTAGTAAACTTCCAAATTCATCGGGTCAAAAACTTCTTCCTCAATCCGTACTGCAGTCTGTAACAGATGATAATACTGTTCCATCAAAAAATACTATGTTTTTGAAAAAGTGATTGGATTTTTTTGTTTTGCTTGTCGACGAAAAAACTGTCTAATACTCTCCTGTTTTTCTTCTGATTTCGGAAAAAAAATTCCTGATTTTTAACGAAAAGCTCCTGATATCGAAAAATTGGATTTGGACACCCTGGTTGTGGGTTATGATCAAGGTGAAGCTAAAATGAAAATAATGTCGATAGCGTTCTCACGTAGAAATATTTTGTGCTTCTGTCATCTTCAAACTGGATTTTAAACCATCAAGTTAATTAAAAGTAGACGGTTTTCCACAAAATATCAGGTTTCAATAAAATCTTGATGTGGAACGGTTTTCTCTAGCTCCCAATTTCGACTCTAAACTAATTTTATTCACAGGTAGAGCCCAAAACGAAGATTGATGCGAAATTTTGAACAGTTTTCACGAAAAAAGTGGTAAAAATTCCGAAATCAGCACTTTAAAAACTTTTGAAATCATAAAGTTTTTCGCTATTTTTCTTAGCTGCCATTTTCCGAATACAAGTTATAATTGCCATTTTTATCACTGAACAGTTTCTAGTAGAAAAACATCATTTTTAGGTGATAGAAAGAAGAAAAGTTATATACTTATTCCTGGGAAAAGTTCGAAATTTATATACTTTTCTGGGTTTTTTATCTAAAAAATGAACGTTTTTTATAACCTTTGCTTTTCCGACAGCTAAGCAAATCGTGCGAAAAGGGGAACATCCGAGGCGAAACAATTTCTTTTTGATGAAATTTTGACGAAAACAGAAATTGTAGGACAGAACAGATTAGGGCAAAAAATATTTCACAGGACAGGATACAGATGAAGATTTATCCCATATTCTGCAGGACTCTAAATGAAAATTTTAGAGCAGTTCACACGCAAATTAACGTTTTTTGCGAAGCTGCTTTCTGTTAGTTTGACTTTTGCTAACATTAATGGGATATTTACTATTGTAGATTAACAGAGTGTACTGTTTTGAAGGTGTTTTAGTAGCGGTAGGCAGAAATCAAGAAAGGAAAATAGATCCTGGAAACATTAATTTGCTTTGCCTGCGAATTGCTCTTAAAGCTTCTTCACTCAATTGCAACAGAAGGGCAAAATGAGAATTGAAATGAAAAAAGAGGAAAAACAGGAACGTCACTTTCAAGCCCAGGCCAGACAGAACGGTCCATTAACATCGTGTAAACGGCATGTTAACGGTCGTCACAAAAATGGCCAATTAACGGTCTAAAAACGGTTTTATTTACACCGATACATGCGGCTAAAAAACGATCCATTAACGGCACGTAGACGGTGTAAAAATGGCGTAAAAACGAGCCACAATACGGTCCCAGTTAACCGTGTAAAAACGGTGTATAACGGCGTGTTAAAGACCCATTAACGTGGACTTAACGGGCCGTTAACTACACCGTTTTGATCGTCCTGGGAGTCTGAAAATCATCGCTACATTTTCATTCCAGATCAAAACTCGACGTATTTAGAGCATAAAGCGCTTATCTTACATCCTTATTTTTGTGAAAAGTTTTGGTCACGACATTTCCATTTGCATCGATTTTCTGAAGCCAATCGTTGTTAAACATTTTTCTGTTTTGAATATGATATAGTATTTATCACCTAAATTCTATTGCTCGTTTTATCCTTTCGTTTTATCTTTCAGTAAATCGATTCTTACAACGAAAACTAAATTTGAGTTGTTTACATAGATGAATAGTGTACAGGAGAGGTGGGCAATGGACGAGGATCCTCCCGAGGTCCCACAATTCGTCACGAACTGGATCCCACAAGGAAAATTTTTTGAAAGCTTGACGACGCACGTCGTAGACAGAATTTGTTTTTGAAGTTTTTCGCCGCCTTTGATCCGAAACTTTTTTAAAACTTTGAAAAAAATTTATTAAAAATTATCACTTTTTTTAAAATTTTCACGCCGCCAACGCCAAACGCGGAAAATTATTTTTTAATTTTTCGCCGCCGCCGATAAAGTAATCGGTTAACACCTCTAATTGCATTAAGTGTCCAAGTGGTATATTCTTATACTTTCAGCTGTAAAAACACGCCGAAAAGTACAGTTTCTAAAGTATTCTTGCAACTTTCTTGTACAGTTCCATTCTGAAAATTTTTCTGAGAACCAGTTACATATTAAGCGTGCAGACTTCGGACACGCCATCAACGTCTTAAAAATGAATTTTAAAAAAGACATTTCATGTTTGACACAAAGTTATTCACGGAGAACAAAAAAAAAAGAACGTACGCTTCTATTTTCTTTCAGTTCTGCAGATCAACCTTAAAAATATTTTACTCATCAGGTTCAATAGGCAGCAACAAACCTGACATTATCTTTCTTTCCGTCGTGACAGGGGATAGACTGGACGACTTTAACGTGTGAAAAGCAGAGATCAGTTAAGAACGTTGGTTTCTTTTATGTGATTAAATAATGTAACATTAACTTACTTATTTTCAATATTTCAAACAGTAAATTACTATGTGATAGAACATAGATTATAATGAAAAGCATCTATTTTGGCACCATCCAGCGGTATCTGCTAACTATTTGAGCACTAATAGATTATCCTGGATCTCGTTACGAACAGATTATAATTAATAAATACAACAACTATGAATATTGATTCTTATCTATTGAGCACTTGCGCATGAACACCAGAAAATCAACGCAAATAAGTTTTCGATTTATTTTCGTTTACACATCACGAACAATATTTACAATCGTTTTAGACTTTTAAAGTGTTTTTCTTTGTTTCGTTAGATAAATTACATGTATATTAAAACAATTTTTCATAGAAGAAGTAACGTTCTGTTTTTTCTATACAAAAATAAAAAATAAATCGCGTAAGGATACAGAAAAAAAGATTAATTTCAACAAAGTTAGTAAATAAATAGTAATAAATTGGAGAGTGAGATTGTTTTTTGCGTATATATCACCGGCTTTTTAATACAAAAATAATGGGTACGACAGCGGGATTAAATTCTCTACAAAAAAACGTATTGAGCATTTTGTTTCGTATTTTAATAATAAAACGTTATGGGAAAAATATTGAGAAGCTTCAATTTCGATCACTTTCTAACCTCTTTTTCGACTTTTATCTTCCACGTTTTGAAGTATAAAAACAAGAAGACAGTTATCTTGTAGCCCTTGGAAAGCTCTTTTCAAATGGTTATATTTAGCATTTTTCAAAACCAGAGACATTTGGGAAGAAAATCTTTTCTTTCCTCAACTATACTAAAAAATCCATCATTTTAGAACAACAGTCTCATGCTACTCAGAAAATCTTTTCTAACTTGATCGAAATCAAAACATATTGAGCTAACATTTGTCTTATTTTGAAGCAAAATAACACTTCTTTCTCATCCAAATAGAGAACGTTCTAAAACTTCCTTTCTTCGACGGTGCTAAGTTAAAAGAGCTTATTTTTTAACTGCATCTTAGTAAAATCGTCTTTTTTAAAATAAAACTCAATTTAAAGCGAATCTAATACATACCAAAAAGTAAGAGCACACTTAGGACCATCGGAATATATATTTTTATCTTAGTTTTATGCACGTGAAAGCATTCAGAAAAAGTTTCCTTTTCATTGAAAAAGAGATTAGAGAATGATCGAAATTGAAGATTCACAGTATTTTTCCCATAACGTTTTATTATTAAAATACAAAACAAAATGTTCAATACGTTTTTTGTAGAGAATTTAATGGTACAAAAATAATGGAGAAAATTTATGCCAAAAATACGTAGAGGGTCATTAACATTGTCGTACCCATTAGAATATGCAATTTTGTCTATAACACTACAGAAGACAGAAGAAAAAATAAAATAACAGCGACTGTTCAAAATAACAAAAAACGCTAAGGAAAGAGTTACGCTCTTACATGAGACGGATAAACAAAAAACAAAAGATTATTAAGCTCGACAAATGCAAATGAATATTGGCAAAAAAATCAAAAACATTATAATTTATTTATGGTGTTTATTTTTCCTTGAACGTTGAGCAGTATCTTCCATTAATGTACTAACTGATAAAAGAAAATATACATATCATTTAAAAATGTAATTATGTCAATTTTCGTACTTACTATCGATTTTTTCATTATCTGATTTTGTCTTTTTCCTCGGTGAGAATAATCTTTGAAGGTAAGATACTTCATCATCGTCTTCCACACTAATTTTATCATTAATATGGTATGATTTTTGTTCATAATTATTGTCAGCCGTGTAGGCTAGTTCTTCGTTGTGCGTATCGTTAGTTTTGTTATTTTGATCAATAGCCACCGTTTCTACAAACATCAAGATCAAAACAAGTCATTCTTGTTAAAAAATAATAAAGTTTTCAGAATGTCATTAATTTGCAAAGGTTACCTCTTTTAAGCGAAAGCTAGACACGAAATGACTTGTTCTTGGAACTTACTTCGATCATGGTCAATAAGAATCGTCTTATCCGTTATCGTTGTAATGATAGGAACAATCGAAGATGAATTTTGTTCAGTAATATTTGAATGTAACGTTTGCTCAAACGTTGTCGATGTAGTTGGTATGAGTACCTCAACTGAAAACAAAAAGAAAAAAATTTAGATGTTTATCAATTCTCTTTCTTCTATCTTTTCAATAGAAATGCTCTGGGATCGAAACAATTAGATTTTACTTCAAAAATCTCTAGTTGTTGTTTAGTTTAATAAAAAGGGAACTTTTTCTAAAATAGAAGTGTTTTTAGGTTAAAGCCAACTATCCGCCTGGATGTACACTGTGTGGAACCGATATAATGCCGTTTTTAAAGATCATCCAGCGTTAAATACCAGTTATATTTACCTATACTTTGTGGTTGTTTACAATTGTTTATTTTATTTCGAATATTGTTGATATCTGTTTGAAATGTTTCAATCATCCTTGATGTCTAAAAGTCATGATAAAGGATTAATCCAACCGAAAGAAAAACATTTAAATTAATAACATACTTCTGACGATGAATTTTGTACAAGACTATTCAATTGTTTAAAAGAGTGCATCAAATCAGACAATATTTGTTCTTTAGATGATGATGTTTGATTTAGTAAATGAAGATCAGTCTAAAAGATAAAGGAAAATATTGAAAGAATATAATCTGTATTTTGAATGAAACTAGGATTATATATGTGACGATAGGTGACACAGCAACATGCATCCTCTTACTCTGAGATCATCTAATTCCTTTTTCCACATAGATGCTGCCGATTGTAATGTTTTATTAAATGATCCAACAGTGGATGATAGTCGAACAATATCCTTAAAAAAAAGAAATGATTTTAAATGTATTGAAAATCTGAAAATAGAAGTTTTCTCATTATTATCAAACAACTTACTTCTTCGAGATTTTTTTTATTTTCTTGTTCTAGTAAATGTTCGATCAATGATTTATCAAAATGTTTTGATTTTTCATTAGAGTAGATCAAATTTGTCATTTGACCTTCACTTTCTTTTTCTAATTTCTACAAATAGAATAAATTGATTTATACATCTAATTCTTAGTTTTTCATCTCAACACTTTCTCGCTTTTCTTAAACCTATTTCAACGAAAAGGAGTTCATCTCATTAAAGATAATGTGTTATACCTCAAGTTCATCGGATACTTCTTTCAATTTTGAAGATTTTTGCTCAATTATGTGTAATTTTTCTGTTAGTTCAACATCAGTTGGTGATGTCTATAAAAGAGAGAAGATATGCAACGTTTAGTAAACATAAGTCTTTATCATTGAAATAAAAAATCTTCTACTTGTTCATGTTCAACATCATCATTGTTCACTTTTGATAATCGTGCTGCCATCCGATTGAAGTCTGTATGTAATTTATTCAACTAAAAATACACGACAATGATCGATATGATGTAAAGTAAGAAATACATGTCATTCAGTGAGACAAAAACCAAGCTGTTTGTAGAGAAGTAAAGTTTATTAAATTACATTTGATGACTTACTTGTTCGTAAATATATGTTCCGTTCCATTTTTCAACGGTCATCAAACGGGTTTTAATAGAATCAATGGTTGTTAATAAATGATTGAATTCAAACGATGATAAACGTTTTTCAACTGGAAAAGAAAATCAAGAAATTTAGAGGTGCACTTGAAGATCTTCCATCTTAAGTTTTAGTTGATTAAATGATTTATTTTTCACACAGATTTTGTTTTAAAGAGGCTAAGATGAAAACAGAGATACTCGGAAATAAATTAGTCTTGAGAGATCTTCCTATTAGTAGTGAAACTTTTTCATGAAACACAAAACCTATTTTAAATAAAACAATGATAATAAGAAAGAACTCTTACTGTCGGCGACTCTTGAGGATAAATTTAGTACTTCGTGTTTCAATTCAACATTGGCATAAGCGAGCCCAGCACTAAAATGAAAGAATAAAACGGTTTGAAACACTTTTATGAAGGTAGTTGATTTATAAAATGCTACTTACCATACAATCATAAATATACAGACAAGGCAAAATGAGATGATATGTCGAATATAATTACAGCATCGACGATAACGGAACGTATGACTAAAAAGGCAGAAGAACACAAAAATAATTTTTATCTAGGTTAGAGATTAAATATTTTTTGAAGTTCAATGCATCAATAGAGCGAGATCGGTGAACTTTTTAACAAACAGTCACTCCTCTTTGACATTTTATCTGTCTCTGCAACAAATAATAAAGAGAGACTATTTAATTGTGAGAATGCAAGCGCTGGCAAACCAACGAAAAAAAAATGCAGCACCACTTTCAGGTTTATCTAAATTAACTCGTATAACAAATTCTATATCAGCTATGAAATACCATTGGTTAAAAGCGAGTTCAACAGCAACAGTATAAACGCCGATCAGCTGTAACTTAAACAGTATAAACGCCGACAACAAGTAAAAGTCCACACTGCTCTATTAATAAATAAGCACTCAAAAGTCAACATCCAACTCTTTGTTGTTCACGATGAAAACGAGCAGTAAATCTTATCTTTTTTTCGTTATTTGAGCATTGAGTAGGAAAAATAGTTTTTCTAATGCATAATAATCCAAACGTTAACACTTTCAGTCATTTTGATCAATATTTTACTTAAGAAGAAAAATTGGAAAGAAAATTTCTCTCAATGTAGACCTGATATTTCTTTCTCAAAAAGGACATCAATAATGGCTACTTTAACCCATAATGAACAAGTATAAAGAAAATAAACCTAAAACTTACGGTTTAGCTGCATTTTTGGTGTTTGGTAAAAATAATTCTTCCTCTGAACTTGTTAATAGATCATCGTTTTTCACTGATCCGCCACTATTATTTCTTGATCGAAACTGCAATAATGCATTGAGCTGACGTCGTTTTTTCATTTTTTTTGTTGGACGTGAAATATTTGATGTCATTTGACCCGTTTCTAGATCGTTCATGTCCAATGATAATAACAGAAGGAATTGAAACTTTTTGAGATAATTGTGGAATGTTTTTGCTTATACTGTCCTAATCGATAATGGTAATATCACAACACTGTGATTTGCTGTTATTGTTTTCAATAGATACTGATAAAAACAACAAGAATCGGTAAATAAAAAGAAAAATATCCGCTTTAAACGCGGCATCTAAAATAAATATAAAGTCTAATATTAAATCTCAGTCGTTCATACAAAATCATCATATATTTAAAAAACGTTCTAAAAAAATGATTCTTTGGAAAAATTCTTCAGAGTGCTTTCTCCCTTCCTCAATCCCATTTTTTGATCTCGTTCGTGTCGTATATATAAAAGTATAGGCTGAATAACAGTTGAAAATAAGTAATTATTACTCTGGTTGTTAATTGATAAGGTTTTGATGATATTCTATAGTGTCATCATGTTCAGTCTTTTCCCTTTTTTTTCTCACACATTAATATTTCTGTTTTGTTTCACACCTTCGTGAATAGTAGTTGTTAAAATATTCATGTAACTTCCAATATGCCCACATAATGAGCAAGAATGAATAAACTAAAAAAATTTTGTTAAATAAAGTTGACTTTTTTTGACAGAAAATATTGGTACAATGATATCTGAAAATATTAGTTTTGTTATACTACCAGTAGCAAAAAATGACATCTAAATGATTGACATAGGCAAAAAAGATTTACTCTTTCAAAATATATTTCGAAAATGCTACTAGTTCATGTTAATGAATTAAAAAACTTAAAAATTCCAAAAACCGTTTTATTAGTTGGATGTTTTTTACTATTGTTACTTAACAAAAACTTTATCTACGTTAAAAATGTTTACAGAATATACACCGTTCTATGCTCTATTTAAATGTCGTAAAAAAAAATCGTCTTTTTCGGGAAATACAATATCATCAGAGATCGATCATTGAAAATGACTCAGTCAGAGAAATTATTTGAGATTAGAATTGAAAACTCAGTAAAATCACATATATTCCATCAGTTCTTTTTTACAAACTATTATTTTTAACAGAAAAATATTCTTTATAATAAACAGATTAAATTTTAAATCATAGAAAGTAGCATTTTTCTGAAATTTATTTATTATATTCGAAATGTCCGCATTACATAACATATAATCTAGTGATTTTTTAATGATTCCTAAAGATACTACTCTAGCAGTCATATATTTTTTCATCAAGCAAAAAAAGTTATGATTATCATTACGAATATGTTGAATAAAAATTCAATTAAATATCTGAAAATGTTGAAATATCGTAAAAATGTTTGACTAATTTTGCTAATAATTTGTAATTTTTAGAAAAAAATATATTTTTCCTCTCTCAAACTATGAAGTTCGATGAAGCGTACTAGACGACATAACTCTATGCATGCAATTTATATTTTTCATCGAAGAAAAATAAATTTTTCGTATATTTAAATTTTCAAATGTAAAAGATTAATTTTTCTCCACAAAATGAGACAAAAAAAAAAAAGTATACATATTGCATCATTTTGCTACGAATATTATTCTTAAAGTTTTAGAAATAATTCACATTTTGGCCGACTTATAAAAAAACAACAACAACATAGAACAGACTAAATTAATAAATAGAAAAATCACTAGCAATTCACGAAAATAAAGAAATAATAAAAGAAGTTCTCTCAAAGAAGAAGAGGCACCGGGCACTGTTGAATTTTTTTTTTTTTTTATTTGTGTATTTGAGACGAGTATATTCACTCAATTAAATAAAAGATTAACTCTAAGACCAATGATAGTTGTCCGATATGTTCGGCAGCGTTCATTATAATTGGTACAAGTACATCATCTAACTGACTTAAGAAAAATTGTGATAATTGTTCACCATTTGAACCAGATAAATAAAAAGCCTAAAAATAGAATACGATTCACAATGAGAAACAAGTGAAAGGGAAAGAACAATCATTATTAATTCTCGCGAGGGAACCGCCCGATAAAGGGCGGGAAACGCTCCGTTTCTAACGAGTTATACCTCAATCGATAGAGTATATCGAGCTAGTAAAAACCTTAAGAGAGTTCGGGTTCATGGCTTTTGAAGACCCGGTTTTCTGGAAAACCAGTTTTTCAGAAACTCTAAAAAACAATCAAAATCTTTCTTAGTGAAGCATGATTGTAGCGCACACATTTCTGATTAAAACGAGGCATCTCCCAGCTCTACACGACCTTTCTTTGTAAAGTTATAGAATTTACAAGAAAAGCCCTAAATTAATTTCTTCCTATTTCTGGAGCTTTGACCTGACAATGAACATTTAGGGCTTTTATTGTAAATTCTATAACTTTGCAAAGAAAGATCGTGTAGAGCTGGGAGATGTCTCGTTTTTATCAGAAATATGTGCGCTACAATCATGCCTCACTAAGAAAGATTTTGATTGTTTTTAGAGTTTCAGAAAAACTGGTTTTCCAGAAAATCGGATCTTCAAAAGCCATGAACCCGAATCCTCTTAAGGTTTTTACTAGCTTGATATACTCTATCGATTGAGGTATAACTCGTTAGAAACGGAGCATATCACCTCAGATGGTTCCCTCGTCAGTTAGATAAGAAGATGTCAATCAATAATCAGATAATAAAAAAGTAATCAATTATCAAACTAATCATAGATGTTGATGATAGACTTTACTACTATGAACGGTAAAGAATCTCTTATTTAAAATTCTCAACGATTATCAATAGTATCAGCGATTACAAAATTCCTATGTTTTATCTTTTATATAATTGTACGTACATTTTCTCTATCGATTGTTGCTCTTAGACCAATTTTATAACAATTTGCTTCCTTTAATTGATCCGATACAGGTGTCAGCGCTTGAATAAATCCTTTTGCAATTGTATCAGCTAATTTTGTGGGATCAAGAGAATGTTCCGTTGTAGTTTGTAAACGTCTCATAAAATTATCACAATCAATAAAATAAATATCTGTCCAACGTAAATTATGGTGTGTATTATTGGCATGTTGATGTGTGAGTGAATAATGAATACGCGAATTTTGAATACGATCCATTGGAAAATAATCGATTGGAGACCGTATACTAAATAGAAAAAAAGAAGTCTATGTAATGTAATGAGATAAAACTAATGTTAATCATGTATGGGTTCACGATATCATACCCTAGATTAATATCTCTATCATTTTCTATCCATATGAATTCAACCAATTGTTCAATAGGATCTGAATTAAAATTAACATTTTCATTATGTTCCATTAGTTGCTGTGGGAGCACCACTGATTTATTTGATATAATTGTATAATCTTTCATATCTTTTAGTGCTTGTTTTAACAACTTTAATGTTTCAAGGTCAACTTGTACCATCACACCATCTTCAATTGTTGATGATTTACCGTAACTTCCACCACCTACACCTAGACTTCCACTAACAGGTGAATAGCCAGTTGGTGGCGATGATGTAGGAGATAGTGAACGTAGACTGGCATTGATAACGATGAAACTTGAACCTGTCGAGGAACTTAATGGATTTTTCTTTAATGTAGGATCTGTTTTGATAACTTGTGTTGAATATTGTTGATCATCTGGATTCTGAACAGCTACAAGATGTTGTTGTACAATTTGGTTTAAACATCCACCAAAACTCAGCACGTGTGCAAGACTTTGATTTAATCCTTTTACAATTTCTTCGTAACGATTACGTGGAATACGAACTGATACACTTCCATGTTCTTTAATAGTTATTGTTAAGCCACGGACAGTAGGTAATGTATAACTATAGGAACGAAAATCCTATATAAAAGAAATATATAGAAAATTTAAACGATTTAAACAAATTAGCTTTTAACACTTACACATAATAAACTGAGGATGGTGTGTCCAACTTCACCATAAACAGGTTCACGATTAGCTACGCCAAATAGTGGCCATGGATAATCTAAAATGAATAAATCAACTAATTTTTTTTTTGTCTACTACTAATATTATACTTACATTGATATTGTAAACCAAATCGAAACATAACTCTCAATGGAAACACATTTGCCCACGGTAGTTCCCATCGATTAAGCAAGATTCCAAATAGATACGGTGGTTCGGGTAAAAATAAATTTTCTATACATTGATTATTCCGTTGAATATATAAAAAACCACAATTATCTTTTGAACCCAAAAATTCTCCATCAACGCATGATGATATGCCCCATGGACGAATAAATATACCTACATAAAATTATACATTGACACTAAATATTATCTAAGTAATAGTTTTTCGGTTTAACCGCCATTGTTATGTGAGAAGTATTTTTAAACGATGTGCAATAGATATGACGTTTTAAAATAAAACAAAAAATATATAACTTTTAACTAAAATGTTGTTATCAAATGTACGATTTAAATAGGATGTCTATGTCATTTACAAATCAATTACAACATTTGACCAGTGATTACTCGATTAATTGTTACAACGCACTAGAGACGACACTTTTAAAATATTTCGTCCACGAATTTCATTTTCTAGATTCGTGTAACAAATCCAGCTTCTTATTTTCTTTCTCATTTGTTTAATATTATAATTCTCGTATGTTTTCCTGTTTCCAACAGGCAGTTCATCTTCCTCAATCGTTAGGTCAGATGAAAATGATCTGAATTGTTATTTGAGAAATCAAATGAGGAGCCAACCGTGTTAACTAAAAACTCGCCCAGAATTAGAATATTAAACATCCCGACTATATCTTCGCAGCATTCTAAAAAAAAATCCATATTAAAATAAGATGGTATAAGTCGGTTGCAAAATAGCCAGATTGATTCCTCTTCTAAGACTTTTCCGATTCGTCTTATGCTCTTCCGTTTTATATTAAGACGAATCGATCCGATTATTTGGCAACCGACTTATGCTGTCTTATTTTAAAAGGAACAAACTTATTTTTCTTACTTTAGCATGAGCTAGCTATTTTTACATCTGACTATTAGAAGATGAAGGGTAGTCCTGTCCTGTTGGAGGGCTGTGAGAGCATTTCAATGATTTTAGTAAGAAATCCAAATAAATTGACAAGCAAGTTTTTTCAGAAAGATCATACATACGAGTGGCAAACACAAAACAAAACAAATAAATGATTTTTTATCGTCAATTATAGAAGTAATACAGAAAAATGGCTTGCAGAAACAAGCATCTTAAAATAAAACGGATGAAAAGAACTAAAGCGGATAATATAAACTGAACTTTTTCCAGACTACACTGTTCAATATAATGCTCAATATCAAGACACCATCAAAATATCATCGTTGCTGTTACAATACCAGCAACAAGAAATCTAGTTACAATAAAACGATAACTATTGGCTACGATGGGAATAGAAATTTAATAAAATATAATAAAAATGACGAATATTGAGAGTTATGAAACAAAACAACAATGGTATAAAGATGAGTGATCAGAAAATATATTCTTGTTATATTCAAGATATTTTTCATGTTAATGTGTGTAAGTCCTCTTACATATTAGTTATAAACTAGTATTAAAAATCACTTTTAGTGTTGCTTTTTTTTTTCATATAAGAAAATTCTAAACATCATTCTTCTGTTTTTGCTTTTCTCGTTTTAATTATCTGTCACAAATACCAATGTCTCTCTCTATATATAGCTACTTTTTTCAAATATATAAAGTCTATTCTTGATAATGATGCTAGAATAGTAATCGAAAGTTCTTGTAACTTCGTTTATTCATTATTATTTTCCACTACTGTTTCAATCAGACTTATAGAATAATTAGATAGTAAAAAAAATCTGCATACTAACAGAGTAGATGGGAGAGCTAAAAAAAAACGCAGTATAATTTTACCTTTCATTGCTTCATTATAAATCTGATTTATATGTAAAAGAATCTCATTGATAATATCACGAATTGTTGATCTATGCTGTTGTTCATTATCAATTTCAATTTTTTCACATTCAATTATGTAAATAATTTCATCTTGACTCACTGTACATAGACCACGTGTTGAATAAACCCAACAGAGACGATTTACACAACATGATACTAAATATACAATTAGAATTTAGATTCCTACACATCAAACATATTTACGGCAAACTTACAATTAATAATTTTAATTAAAACAATAAGATTTGAATTGATTCGAATTGTCAATGGTAATTCATTTGGATCTAAATAAATAGAGAGCGTACAAATTGAACAAGAATAGAATCGATAAAAACAAAACAAAAAAGAATTCAAATAAAAAATACCTTGAAGTTTATGTAATCGTTCTTCTGTCTCATCAAACGATAATTGAGCTAAATTAAAAATAAAAGTGATTTTTACATGCAATATATAGTTTAGATATATTTCTTTCTTTAAAACAATCATGCTTATGTGTAAAAAAGCATGCAAAAAAAACAAAAAATTATATTCATCTACATGAGAGTTTTTTTTGTTTTTACAAACCTGGCATAAACTGTTTAATTGCAACATTTGCTGTAGTAGTAGCAGTAGGACTTGTTTTAGATTTTCGTAAATAATGTAAACCATTATATTTGGATAGTGTAGTAGCACTCGCTGTAGATGTTCCAGAAGCGTCTCCATCATTCGATCCCGGTTTTATACCATCTTCAAATGTTACTGATTTTTTTAAATCACTACGATTACTTCCTACAAAACGGACAGAGAGGATTATATCGAAAACAATTAACGTCAGTTGTTTTCATTATTTATGTCAGGCAATATTTTGTGACTAGATTTTGTTCAGTTTTTTTTTTTGTTTTTGTTTTTTAACAGAAAAAAACACGACAAACGAAGTTATTTTCTTATAATATTCTCAAATTTTCTTTATTTTGTATTTATATTCTAGACGATCATTTCACTTTTTTTAAAAAAGAGACGAGCAAAAAATACCACACAGGTAATAGTAATTATGAATTTAGATTCATAGAACTTATATATTAGATATTAATTTTTGTGGAAAAAAACCGTTATTAAATAAGTGTTTTCTTAAATATAATTTTCTTCTTTCTAATATCTTAAAATTTGCAGTTCGAATTATTTCATTTTACACAGTTATACATGATAAGGTGTTCTTCTGCTTATTTCTTTAAAATGTACAAAGTGTCGCTATCGTTAATAATTTGTACACTTCATGAAAAGAATGCTAGCAATAATGGTAATTTTACAAAAGAATAAATTAATATAACAAGAAAACATGGCGTTAATATAATTTGAGGGAAATGAAAAGGAAAATTTATTTTACATGAATAATTTTATTTTTAAAAAAAGGAATCTATATTGTTTTATTGGTAAAAAAATAAAAAGAAACCAAGGAAATATTCTACGGAGAGATAAACTGATGAAAGCTAGTGAAACTTGTTTTTTTTTTTTTGTTGTTGTTTGAAAATATTTTACGTCATCTAGAACTCAAAAACAAAGTAATTTTCCCAAGTAGATAAGAAGCTTAATATGCTGATTTCTTTGCCTTCATATCTAATATGAAAGATCTCTCGTGTGTGTCTGTCCTTGTTATTCTAATCAAATCGCTAAGTAAAAAAAACTGACAACGTTTATTACAAGATTCAAATAACGACAGTTGATAGTCTTCCATTTGTACAAAATAAACACAACAAGAAAAAAAAGAAGGTAGTATAGTGGTAGAAAAGAAGTCGCAAATATGGAATCGGTATATACACAATGAAATACCTTCACTCGAATTTGAGTTTCAATAATAATAATAATAATAGTCATGTTTTCATGTTGGTTACCATGTTTTACAATACACAGCAGTAGGTCTCTTATTCGTAAGACACAACGGGAAAATGTTTTTTTTTTCACAAAAATATTTCTGCGAGTATAAAATTTTTCATATTAAGGATTAAAACGCTTTGTAAAACATTTCTGTTTTATTATCATCATCTTCTAGTTAAATAACAAATATGGCAACAACTTATGAATACACATATGAATATGACACAGCTGACCAAGGAAAACGTGGTAAAGCAGCCACAACAACTTATTCAGGCTCAACAACAAATCGTTCAGCAAATGATCCATTAGCAAATTTACAACACGATCGAATATGGCATAAATTGTATGATCCGTCACATCAAGATAAAGCAAACCATGAAACAGAAATTCAAGTAAGTCTAACTAATACCATCGTTTTATACCGTAGTAAGTTCTAGTTTAATTCGATAACTCTATCGGTACATAAGTATATATATATACACTCTGTTGGTTATTAATATGTAATTTGTATTCTCGAGAAAAGACACTTGAAATTAATTTCATAACTAGATATTATAGACAAGATCGTAGCTTGATCTTGCTTAATCGGTTGAGCAAGGATAAAAACTTATCGAAATGAAACATAAATTTGTTTTTCAAAAATTTTATGTGACTGTGTTTTATTTTCAAAAAACAATTTGCTCAAGGAAAAATAAAAAACTCTCTAAAAGCAAGACTGAAATTACCTCTAGGCCTCTGAATTTAGGCTTTTTCGATCAAATAAGCGACAATGACCAAGAGGACTAAACACTGGGATATATGATCCCGTTTTTTTGAAGATTCTCAATGATGGATTTTTACTCTTACGAGATTTTCTTCAAAGATTCATTGAGCTCACTCAACGAAACTTTGGTTGACAAAATAATTCAGTACTCTGCAAAGCGTGAGTGTCAAGACACGAATTTAACTGAAGAGCACAATTCGTACTAATAGTCGGTGAACACATTTTTCTTAAATGGTCACGAAAAAACATCCAATATAAGATCAAAATTGTACAAAAAGGTCATACCTGCTAAACGATACAACCAAAGAATGAGATGTAAAGTCTTTTGATCCAGCAATTTTGCTAGTGCTACGCACATACAAAACATCAACTTATAAGATTGATTCTAAGTGTCTTTTCAATGAGTAATGGATTGTATACATACGATCCACAGTAGATAGCCACGAAAAAATAGAAATAAATAGATAATGATGGGCGGCTCCTTTTTAACCACAAATATTTAGTCGACACTGGCGCAGTGAAACTTATTGTACCCAAGGTAATTCTGAATCACCGTTTTATTTACACTATGTATGTATATTTAAATATTTTTTGCACTTGAAATAACTTCATACTTGTTTTCCTCATCATAGTTGTTCGAGATGTCTTAACCCATGATCTTTATTTCAACAACTTCCACTACAGAATTGTCAAGATCGTGTCTTTACTGAGAGTATAAACAGAGTGATTCTGAGGCAGGGAAATGGTCAGTGAATATTATTAAGTGCGAAGGTATACGCCTTGCCCTCTATTTGCAATAGATGTCGTTGTAATTCTATAAAGGGCAAACTTGACGATCAAGGTAAACTGAATTGACGATGATGAACAGGAATGTTGTCAACGTCGGTGAGATTTTTATTTTAGCTTGTCTTAACCAAAACTGACAGACACTCGACTTGCAACATGAACCGAGATCACTTTTCGACTGATCTAATTAAAAAAAGATTATCCCGAACATGAATGTTCTTCATTCACTGATGGTCAACTCAGCATCTGAATTGTCTTAACGCCACTGATGTTGCTGACATCGAATGAATTATACTCTATAACTGGCTAATAATATTGCATAGCCCGTAATGGTATCATTTCCAGATGATTTTAAAAGTTAAAAGTCAACGGTTTTCCACAAAAACTTAAAACCTGATTCAAAAGTTAGAACGTCTTACGTTAGTTTTACGTTAATTAAGTACACCCCATCTTCTTTCTGTTCCAGAAGAACATAGTGATATGAATATATTAGCAAAAGCAAAGACTCCATTTCATTTTGTTTCTGTTCGCGAGATAATAATGTTCTCATAACACTGATCGAGACTTTATTCTCGCAAGCTGCTTTTGTTAACTTTATTTTTGCCAATATGTTCTTCTTGAACAAAAGATGCGGTGAACAGTGCTCAGTTAACGCGAAATTAAGATAAGACATTCTAACTTAAAACTGTAACTATTTTGAATTTTTAACTAAAAGTTAAAAGACTTATGACTACATATAATTGAGGAACTTTTAAAATCTTCAGTGAAGATATGATGCTATCTATCGTTCTGAAATTTGTCGTTGACATTTGTAAAAGGATATGAAAAGGACGTAGACTTTTTTTCGATAGTTTTTAAACTCATCGTCTGATCATTTTTTGACTAATAAACATGTTATATAGCAGATATTTATATGTACGATCTATTCAGCCAAACGGAACAATAGTGGGTCGATACAACACAAAGATTTTGATTGTTTATTAGGCGAGGAGTGGGCTAAAGCTTTAGCGGAAGGAAAGCGGTAAAAAAATGATCCTACGGAAGTGGTCAACAAGAAAAAAAAAGGTTCTATGAAACTTATATGCAACATCCAGTCTGACCCTGTGATACAACGAGAATATTTTGGACGATAGAGAAATCTTTGTAACTGATACAGTTTTTTAAAATCAAATTTCAAGTTGTTTCAAAAATTCACGTATAAAATAGCGTTACAGTAGAACAGTGTCATTTTACAACAGTCAACCACCATTCACGTCACTTTTTTTCGTCTTTGAGAAGAAAATAATTTTTATAAATTTAGTGAATATAGCACCAAAAAAGGTAGTTGTATCGGCAACCAAATAGAAGTGTCTACTTAAAAAAATAAACAGTTTGAAAAATATTTGAGTAGTAATAAGTATAACGACGACCCCTCTTGTTCATTTTGAAAATACAAAACAAAAAAAAAAATAATAACCGTCGCGAAGGAAATCGGCACATACATCAGAAGAAGAGGCTTGAAGAGCGGAAACTATGTCAGAGACATTTTCATCACTGATTATTAGACTATTTTCTCTACTAGTGCTTTCATCATTTCACTGTACACTTCAAATCATAATTCCTTCAGAATTTATAGAGTATATAAGATTGTACTCATTTATCTGTAATGTTGTCTATAAAGATTAAAAAGATTGTATAAATTGTCTACTATTTTACATTGTTTTATTTGTAACCAAGTATTATTATTATTAGACTGGATATTACAAGCAAAATTTTTGCGTGTTATTTATTTGGAATGACACACCACATTTCTAATTTTTTTGATAATTGAACATGCGTTCGTATCATTTCAAGTAAAAAACAATACATTCAAAGGTTTTTTTTTCATATTAAACATAAACTTTTGAGAGCTCTTTTTTTTTTTCTTTTTTTTGGCATATACTTACTACATTTACATAGAAACACCTTGCTCTATATAATTTATTTATTTTTTGACAATTAAGACTCTGTTATAATAGAAATCAAAACATCTCATACTTGACAACAGAAATGAGAGAAAGAAAAAAAAACTTTTGAAATTTTTTAAAAGTTCCCAAGTGAAAAAAGAACATAGAATTTTTTTGTTTTGCTTTATTCCACTTTAAAAAAAAATAATTAAACAGTTTGTTTTTAAACCACAATAATGAGAGACAAAAGAAAAAATTCCAATAGTGCCATCAAGTCAAATTGTCACGTTGACTAACAATAATAGAAACGCGCTCTTTTCTTTTTTCGTCTATATGTTTACCGAGTATAGTAATGACGGTAAAAATAAAACTGATTGTCTTTTTACTCGTTTTCTTTGCGCTCTAATTGTTCCTTAGTATTGGATCCGTATGATTTCTTTTTTTCTCTCATGTCTACTTCTTTTTTTCTGATTGTTCTTTTTTTTTTTAAAAACAGAGAAGAAAATATAAAAATTCTCGACTTTAAAAAAACTCTTGAAATAGAAATTTGATATTCAGATTACACAGAAGACAAACGCAATAGACTAACGGTAATATAAAGAATTTTTTTCTTTTTTCTTTTATTCGTCTTTTTTCTTATTCTTCTTCTTCGTATCAAATCATATCCTATGTGATATCAAACAGAGTAAAGAAAAAAAATTCATTCGTTAAATATACAAAAAAAAGAAAAGAAAATATCACTTTTTGTACAACTACAACAAAAATATAGAATAAAACAACTTAGTAAATTGACGATCAGTAACAACATTAAATCATGTATTTTAGTGAAGATGTTCGAGACATCTCACGCTTCGATGTATGTAGATTATTATAATTATTTTTTTGTACTAAATTTCATATTTGTTGATTGAATTTCTCAAATTTTGATAGTATCTGTACAAAATATGCTTTAATGGTGTAGAGACACATACAAAATTTTCTGAACTAACTAATCTAATTTTAAAAAAACAATAACAATAATCATGAGATGAGACAATAGTATAATTTATTTTTTTTGTTCATATATTTTAAATAGAAAATGGCTCGTCGACAAGATCGAAAAGTAATTAAAATTGAAGCTGCCTACGGTTCTGATCGTCAAACATTTATTGTTAAACGAAATTATGATTTACGTGTTCGTGATGTACAAGAAGATGCATCAAAAGCATTTAAAATGCCTGTTGATCAAATTATTTTATATTGGAAAGTAAGTTAAATATAAAAATAAAATAATGAAAAAATTTTTTAAAAAATAATTTTATTTTTTTTTTCTCTCAAACAAAAAAGGGTCGAAATATTTGTGATACACCAAATGAACTTCTTGAAACATTGGGTATAGAAAATAATCATCAAATGCGTGTTTGTCGAGAAGATGATCCTGTTCAACGTAATAGAAGAAAAGAATTACGTTCATATACAGATTATACAAATCAACAAGATCCCTATGGTGGAGGACAAACAATGTATCAACAACAACAAACAAATTATCCAAATCAATATCCAAATTATCAATCTTATAATAATGATCAATACAGTACAAGTCCACGGTAAGATTAAACAAAAACAAAAAAATAAATTTCTAGAATAGAACGAAAAACTCAATAAAATTTAACATCAATTTTTCAGTTGTCATTGTACATGTTCGGGTTCTCATCATAATTATCCTGTTACTAATAATTGTAACTGTTATTGTCATCACAGTCCGTAAGTGTCAAAAAAAAAAAAGAAGAGAAAATGAGTTCCTATTCCCTATACTAACAAGTCAAATCATTTTATATTTACTTTATTATTCTAGACGTCAATATTATCAGATGTAGATATATGAAAAGAAAAAGGACTTCCTTTATTAAAATATTTTGAAGTGCTCTCTGATTTTCATATTTAATAATTAATTATTATTTTTCATCAAATAAAAAAAAAAAAACAGAGAGAAAAATTTATTATCTCTTTTTCCTTTTTTTCTCTCTCTCCCTCTCTCTCTCTCTCTTAATTTTTATTTGTACCGATTTATGCATATTTAACAGTGTTATTCCCCAATTTCCTGCTTTCTGACTAACACTAATCATTTCTATTTCTAGTACCACTTATTATCAACAATTAACTCAACAATCTCAGCCAACAAATTATAGTGGTCAACGAGGATCGAATTTTCTTCTTAATTTACAAATTGGTTTTGGTGATCGTCTCGAAGGATTAGTAGTTGGACGTCCACATCCCATTACTATCTATGATTTACAAATGGAATTACAACAACGTTTTAATATACCCGTATTAGATCAAAATGTTGGATATAATGGAATATCATTAACACAATTTCCACCTGATGCACCATTAGAATCAGTTGGTATTGTTAATAATTCATTTATCTCTTTATGGTATAAAAATGTAAATCAAAATAGTGGACAATTACAACAACAAAATGATATGTTTACACCTCGACAACAATATGGAGGAGATGGTTCTCAATCTCCAAGACAAGGACAGTTGTCTCCAAGGTAAAATTCAATTTAGTACTTAAAAGAGAGTTTGACTTTTTCCATAGTCATAAAAAATAAAAAAAAAGAACACCTCTTTTTCGACTAGTAACCCAATACCATTTTTATTAGGTAAAGTAGTAGAGATATTTTAGTTCATATTGTTCAATAAACTACGAAAAAAAAAACAGAGTAACATCTACAAAAATATAAATCAAATGGATATTAGTCTAGAATATTTTAAATATCTTTTTTTGTATAGTTGTAAAATGTTTTAGAAGAGGAGACAATAACATGTCCAATGGAACTAATAAAGAAGTATTAAAAGTAGAAGTATTTCATGGTACGTGGGTGTCTTTTTCTCTCTCTTCATTTATCAATCATGTATAATTTATATTTCTTATACTTTTTTAGGATCTGACCGACATGTATTAATATTGAGTAGTGCCCACAATTTACGTATCTATGATTTAATGGATGAATTACAACGAATAACAAATGTACCTGTTAAAGAACAAAAATTATATTTTCGTGGGCAAGAACTTCAACTCTTTCCTGAACGTTCATTAAAAGAAGCGAATATTGATAATAATGCACAAATTCGACTTATTGGAGATCCGAGTAAAACACGTTATGAAGCAATGATAACAGGTCAAAAAACAAATAATCAATAATTATTACCCATATTCGTTTTTTTACGTTCGTTCGCTCGAAGATGGTTTAAAATAAAATCATCCACGCTATTTTTAAATCTTATTGCAGCAATCTTACGGTCTCTCGATCTATTTTTTTTTCTTCTTGATTTTTATGCCTTTTTTATTTTCTTCTTTTTTTTTTTTCTTCTCGTCTGTTCTTAATAAAATAATTGTACAAATGTTTAGACATACACTGAGTCATTGAACTATTTCATGTGTTTATTCGTATGACGTTATTTATTTATCGATACAATACAAATAGTGTGTGCGTGAATAAAAAGAACAAAGTTTACAGAGGTTTGATACTATCTTAGAATTTTTTGTTCGCATCACTGCAAATTCAAAAAGCTTTAGGTATTCCTAAATATTGCAAAAAAACAAACGAACGATTAAAACCAATCTTAATTCATTTTATAATCCTTATGTTTGTCATTTATCATATGGTAGTATCTCATAGTAAATTACAAGTATATATCTAAGAAAAGTTTCAAATAGACAAGAGACTTTTATTTCGTACATTGAACGTCTTCTAATTAAAACTAGAAACGACGAGAGTAAAAAAGTTGACTGCAAAAAAAAGGACTAACAAAAAGTAAAATTATTGGGCGTATTCATTGTACAGTTTGAATAACGTTTAGGTTTGCATGAAGTCATGAAATGGATGAAACAAGCAAAATTAAGAAAAGTTCGTCAAACGGTAAGACAAGTGAAAGAAGTTTTGATGAATCAGACACAGTCGTTCTTCATCGTTATCGTCGTTACGGGTACTATCAAAGTGTCATAATAAGAAGAGCATAAGTGCGTATTGTGCAAAGTTATCTATCTATTTAATGGTTTGTTATCTTTTTTTTTGTCAAACACAAAGTGTGGCTTTGTTTTAAATCAGAAAAGAATGTCGATAGCACAGTTCATGACCGTTTCGAATGTGAAAAATATTTGTTTTAGTTGTTGAAAATATATTCATTTTGACAGCCTAATTTATGAGCATATTAAAAAGACGAATTTTCGATCACTGATGTATAAGTATTCTATTTTTGAACTATCGTTCCGCAAATGTCTACGATTATGTACAGCTGAGAGAAAGTGATCGACTCAAAATGAAACGTGTACTTAAGAAAAACAGACTTTTGTCTGATGAAAACCAATACGTATTTGTATTTATTTCACTCAGTCCACTTGACACGTTGACTTTATTTTCCTGACGCGCCTCTCGTACTTTATCTAATTATCACATCACACACTTTATTGTTGAGTTTAACTGTTCTTGTTTATGATATTATTTATTCTCTCTCTCACATATACACTCATATACATAAGTAAAGAGAATCATAAAAACAAAAAATGGCATCATTTAATCATAATCCTAATGCTTCCGAAAATGTTCCTAACCCAAAATATTTAAAATTACAAGTACAATATGGGAGCGATCATCATGAATTATTATTGTCACGTAAAGATGATATAAAAATTGGTCATGTGCAAGATGAAATTGAACGTATTACAAAAGTTCCAAAATGTCATCAAACAATCGTTTATAAAGGACAAAGATTAGATCATACTCCTGATGCACGACTAGATGATTTGTACATATTCAATAATAGTAAGTTACAATTAGCTGGTACACAAACACAATTTCATGATAAGTATTGTTGTCCCGATCATTTACATGGTACACATAGCGTAGGTAAGATGAAAGAAAATCACAACATACTTCTCTGAAACAAGATTGAAGAATATAAAACCGAGTAATAATATCTCAAAAAACATCTGTTACCTTTAGATGATACTCATGCAACACAAGGAATTTCACAAAAACAACGTCCCTCAACAGCCGCTGCTTCTGCTACTTCAACGACGACGACAACGGAAACGACCGAAGTACGTCCACTAACCACATCATCAACTCAAATCAATGTTCGACCACTAACAAGTCAAAATAATAATAATAATGTTCTAACAAGTGTTCGATCATCGACACAGAGTAGTACGAATAAAAACCGACCATCAACTCAAAGTCGTAATAACAATTCAATAACAACAGCAGTTATACCGTATCATGATGACAGTACTACGATTGTTACTCACACGCATATGGAGAAACAACAACCGATCATATCTGGTCCCGCAGCACTGGTACAAACAACAGATCATCATTCAGAGTCCGGTGAGACTCAATATTACCAGCCTCAAAGAACAATACCTGAAACAAGTTACTTGAGTGCATACGCTCCAACTGCTCAATCAATGTACCATTCACCACATGCGGTTAGCACAGTCCCTTCATTAACCGTCGAAAAAACAACCACATCAAATTCTTCTACAACATATCCCACTTTTTCTTCTCACATTGGTCAAGCTCTCGAAAAAACCATGACAACGACCTATGATCATCCATCGTTTATACCAGATGCTAACAAGAAGTATGAATACTTTACTGTGCCTTACAATACAGATCCCGCTTCACTGTTACAGCAAATTCCACATAACTCAACAAATCATCAACATTAATTGAACTGTGAAATGCAAATAAAAAAATCAACTCGCTTTTCACACTTTCATGCTTTACGTACTGTAAATAAATCAAGACAAAAAAAATAAAAGACATAAAGGCAAACAGTTCTCCAACCGTTTTCCATAATAGAAAATTATTTACGAGGAAAATGTCTAATCCCTATTCCACTGAAATATACGCGGTTACAGATAATTTTGATACTCGACACAAGTGTGATATCCTTTTGAATGTGCCTCATTCTTGACTGAACGTGCAGAAATCTAGTCTCTACAAACCCATTATGAACTTTCAGTTGAAGAAATTCTGAAATTCTGATCTGAATAATCAAGTATATTTCAATGGAGTAGTTTTTCGTATTGTCATTTGTCTTTTTCTTGTAGAAAGTCGTCTTTCCGTCAATACTAATTACCAGTCGATAATTTTTTTTATTAGTTTTTCGTTCTCAAGTTTTAGAACTGCTACAAATAGCAATTATATGTGTTATTTGTAATTATCTTGATTTAAACAACTTACCAGTTCTTTTTCTGAGCACAGACGAACGTGGTTTTTGATTTTGTCTCAAAAATGTAAATAATTGTTCAACTAGAAGGAGAAGAATGAACAATAAAATTTTTTTATAAAAGAAGCTCGTCTTATTATTCTACCTTTATTTATGGTTTGAACACAATCATTACACGCACGATCTTCTCTATTATCTAAATGAATTAATTTCGCTTTTTGAGAACAACATGCACTACAAAATATCTAAAGAAAAACAAACAACGACTAGTGTATAATGTGATCAGTTGTTAGATCTGCTTACTTTTCCACATGCACGACAGTGATGTCGTCTGCGAGTTAATGTAAAACGTGTTGTACATTTCATGCAAGCTGCAGCTTCTTGATCATTCATCCATTGAGGACAAACTTGTCCGAGTGTTCGATCATTCTCACTCAGAGAACTCCATTCCGATTCAGCTTGTAACAATTTCTCATGTAAATCTACAAATAGACAAAATAAAAACAGTAGAATAAATCGAGTTTTCACATCTATTCAACAATTTTAAGAAATGAGCTTTTTCGTAAGACTCTCGAATGAAACTAACCTTGATCGGTGGTTGATTCACTTAATTCATTTTCCTGAGTTATTTCACTTTGATTTTGTTTATCGTCTGACTGAAAACTAATAGTTGCTGAAGTACAACTATTGTCTACTTGTTCCGCAATATTGTTAATATCATTATTATTATAACGATGTTCCAAATCCATAGTACAAATTTCTTCATGTGTTAATTCGTTCGATTGAGCTTGAGGGGAAAGTTCTTGATGTTGATGATCATCGACAATTTGTTTTAACAACATATCAATTTTATCCACTTGTTCTGATGAAAAATGGTAGAATGGTTCTTCTGCCGTTGTAACAGTAGATGAGGATGGTGGTAATGTGGCAAGTAATTCTTCTAAAAAATGAAATCCGTCCTCATTACTGCTCTTAACTTGTTCTTCAATATCATGCGGCTTTTCTATTGTATCGCTTTTAACTATTTGTTCTAATTCATATTGTGGTGGTGGTATTTGCATAGAATTATTACTATTATCATAATTATAATTACTATTATTATTATTATTATTTTCTAATTCAATTGGCATTTGATCATCATCAGATATTGTGTTTTTAACAAGATCAAATTCTTGTAAGATCATATTTTCGTTATTATTACTGTTATAAAGAATATCTTCATGCTGAGAACAAACAAGATCAACATCGTCTTTATATTGTTGATTAACAACATCAGGAACAGTTGAAAAAAAATCATTGATCAATGACACTTCTGTTTCATTGGATGGCAACAAAAAGTCCTAAATAGAAATATATTTTTGAAGAGTTACTATTTAACATCAATTTATATGTTCAGTTTGTACCTCATTTTGCTGATTATTATTAGTATCATCAATATTATATTTAACTTGATTAGTAAATAATATGTTCGATTCATTGCTATCATCAATTGTTTGTAATAATAAATCGGGTTCATCTTCTATTTCGACTCTTTGATCAGTTAATTCATTTTCTACATGTATCTCCTGTTGTTCTACAATATGGTCAAGAACTGACTGTTGTTGATCATTTTCGATCGTTTTTGATTCGATATTTGTTAAATCTGGTAATAAATCAATTCTTTCGTTATGAGATTGAATATTATCGAGTATCTGATCAGAATTTTGAACTACATCTAATATTGAAACAATGTCATCATTATCGTGATGATTATTATTCAATGTATTTATGTCTTCTTGTTCAACTATTGCATCGTTTACATCTGCTGAACTCTGAGTAATAACATCAGGTAAATCAGATGTTAAATGTTCATCAGCTGTACTAATAGGTGTAGGTAAAATTGTATTTACAGCATAAAGTTTAAGAATATCTTGTTTAAGTTTTTCAAGTTTGTTATCATTGTTTGTTTTATCATTATCATCATTTGAATCGAGTAAGAGTAATTCATCAACAGTATAAGAAGGCGAATATTTGTTCTCATTTATAGAATTGGTCGATACATCTGCTTGTTGTAATTGATCAAATATAATATCGGTATTTGTTGTTGACAAATCATGGTTTACAGGATATTGAGGTGGTGAACTAACTAAATTGGAAAAATAAATTTAAGAACTATTTTTATTGACATACAATAAAGATCGAAAGCCGAAGTAGCTTACGTTTTTTTTCTAATTGATCTAATGCGTCATCAATATCCATCAACTATTATTAGATTATCAAAAACAAAACAGAAAATAAATTTACTAAAAACAAATTTTTACGCTAAAATATGAGGGGAAAATAAAGATAGTTGAAGTCAACAGCAAATCAATATGGAGACATATTTTAAAGGCTGATTCTTTAAAATAACCCATCACACAGCAGAAAAATGAATGAAAGTTTAAAGTAGCATAGGTTTTTTCCTTGTCTTTATTTATATATAGATATATTACTTTTTTTTTCTGTTTTAATATACGTATATATAGTATCACCATAAAAATAAATAAACAAATGTAAACATAAACCGAAAGAGAAATATGATTGAATGAAAAAATGACGAAGAACAGCAAATGACACGTAAAATGAAAGAAAACTTTTTTTTTAATCAAAAACTTTCTGGATGTTAATAAAAACATACAAAGATCTTTTCGTTCTAAGCATACATATGTTTTTACAGAAAAAAAAGCATGAAAAATAACCAATATGACTTTAAACACGCACGGAATGCAAAAGCGATCTTCTAACTCTACTCATCAACTGCTACAACATACAATGAAAGCAAAAACAAACAAGAAAAATAGTATTTCAAAAAAATCATAGAAGAATAGATATATCTCCCTTTTGCTCACATCTTTTGTCAGAGTACAAGAGAAATAAAGCAACATTAGAGGTATCAATTTAAACACAAACAAACAGTCCACAATCGACGTGAAACTTATTTAAAGCGAGGTATATGAACAATACAGACTTCTGGAAGAAGCTGAGAATCATATTTAATAATATAGCAATCGCCAACTTATTCGTATATGTAGCTTCACGATTGATTCAATTTTCCTTTAAATAATTTTCCTCACTGTAATTTGCGTTCAGACTGCATCTTGTTAATATTTTACTTCATCGTATTCTCTTCCTACAATTTTGGATCATACACTTTCATCCTTTCTTACTTCTTTCTAACTACTGTTACTAATTTCGAAAATAAAAAAAACACATCAAAATCAACAATAACAACAAGACGTGTTTTCGATATTGTTTTTTTTTTTTGATCTTTAGCCTTTGTACACAAACACACACTAACAAAAGAAAGACAACAAAAACAGAGAAAAAAAAATACATATATCTCAACCATTTGTATCAGCGTTTACAATTAATTCGTCTAATTGAAAATCATATCCAAATTGCAAATCAACGTAGGGTAAAGCCAAAAATGTTTCAGTATTATACGTTCTTAATGGTAAAACAGTAGTCAATGTGGAAGATGATGTAGTTAAATCATCATCTATATTTTGTGTAGTCCTATTATTATCGAGTTGTTTATTATAAACATACGATAATTGTTCGATAGGTACAAGAAATAATTCTGGTTGTTCATTTAACAGTTGATCATACGTTTTATTTTCGTTCTGATATTTTTCTAACATTTTACATTGATGAGCATCGTTCAAATCTTTAATATTTTCATACGGACATAGGAGAGATAAATCATGAGCATTTTCTTTAATGGGTGATACTGATGCTGGTGGTGGTAGCGGTGATGATGCAACAGAAACTGCAGGAATAGGCGATTTCTGTCTAATTTTTGGGACTTTTACTGTTCGTTTTCGAGTAGTGGTGGTAGAGTTGTTGTTAGTGCTATTTTTCGATGATATAAATAATGGTGATATGGGAGGATTTTGTGGAGAAGATAATGATTGACCAGATTGACCAATCGATGAACGAATTAGAGTATTTGATAGAGCAGACGGTGTACGAGAAGTCCATTGAGCTGTGGTGCTTGTCATTGATGAAGATGAAGAACTGGAAGAGGGTGGAGAAGCTGGTGAAGGAGAACCACCACCACTGCTACCTTCCCATGTGGTAGCCGTAGAACGAGTTCCATGTTGATGATGAGAAGGTGTTGTTGTAGTCGTTAGTTTTCTCCATGAACCTTGTTTTGTATAGTGTTGACTAAAATATAAATACGAACAAAGAAAGACTGATGAATTAAATACTGATTAGAGAAATATTGGGTTTAAAAAGCAATGGTTCAAAGTCTGCTGCTGTAAGATTTGAAGGTATGAGTAATACCTTGATTGTGTTGCGTCAACTGAATTGGTAACACTATTGGATGTAGCTAATGGAGTAGTTGTAGTCATATGTCGTCCATGATGTAAAGCTGAATAATCGACTTTATCATTATCGTTTAAACTTTCATCTTTAATTTGATTTTTCAATATTGCATTTATTGTTGGTGATTGAGTAGATAGAACATGTGGTTGTTTCATTTGCATTTCTAATATTAATTGTTGAGTAGTTTTCAATTTTGGAAGAGACGAAGAAGGAATCACCGTATTATTATTATTGTTATTATTGCTATTATAATGGACTGTTTCTGATGTATCCAGATGTTGTTTGGTACTTTTTCGTTGTTTAATACCCTGTGAAGATGTTGGCGTCGACGAAGAATAGGATCGCCCATTAATATGAGGTTTTTTTGTTTGTACCTGAACTTCTGTTGATGGTGATGGATCCAATCGTCTTTTTCTCGGCCGTGCTTTACTAGCTGGTGTCGATTGTTCCATGAGAGGATTCTGTAGTTCATTGGCAGCAGTCGATGGTGGCGTGATTTTAATTTTCAATTTAATGGGTGGTTGAGATACAGGAACTGGTGCGACGGCCGGAGATATTAGTGGTCCATGAGATGAGGATGACGAAAAGGCAGCATCGAAGACGGAGTCTCTTGTATTATTATCTGAGTCACCTGCACCTCCATCAGGTTGTTGTTGGTTTGATGAATTTTTTACAGTGGTCGTTGCTGTTGACGATGAATGAGAATAATGTAATAAATCACCATTTATCGGAGTTTGTTCATTGTTTGAAACTGTCGCTGCTGTTGGTGCCGAATTTTGCAATAAATCCTGCCATGTACGTAAGAGCTTTTTTGCACGTTGAGCAATTTCACGATTCGTCGTTTTTCGTCGGATATCATTAATTTCACGTCCGAGTCTAGTCGTCTACGAAGAAAGAATAAAAAAAAAATAAAAAAAAAAAAGATCAGTTGAGAAATAGGCATAGTGAAGAAAATAACCTTCTGTAACTCCAAGAATTTCATCAATGTACCAGCGAGATCTTAATGCTTACGGAAAAAAATGAGTCATATTATTCTAAGGAATATCTTAGGTTGGAAAAACGCAAAAAATGAGTAATAGAAGAAGAAACCCAATCCTTATTTTGTCCTCTCGCACGTATTTAGCTTTAAATCGTGACAATATTAATTAAAGCTAAAGTTATACAAAAATCTTGGCTATAACTTCTAATTCGTTGTTTCACTAGTAACTATTTCATGATTCTAGAGTCCTCCAAGAACCTCTGTCTATATCGTATTATGACTCAATTTACAATAAAGATTTTTGAAGAGCACTCGCTCAGCGATCGTTGTTGAGAACTTTTATGTGGGTGCATGTCTCAAACAGAGATGCAGGATTAATTTGACTGTAACGTTCATGACGAAGCGATACATTCTCAGAATTTGGTTGATCACTTACTTGCAACTGATGTTTCGTGATTTGGTTGTTCTCCAATTGTGATATAATATCAAGTACGGCATCTTCCTTAATGACCTGTAAAAAGAGAAAAAAAAACTTTTTTAGAGGGTTTGCTCCTTGAAAAATAAAATATACATCGTACAGTCAATAAAAACTCCTTTAGGAAGCGATATTCTATAAGCTATAGATGAAGCATACACGAACTCCGCGTATTAAAAAGTACTAAGGATACCCACTTAAACATAACCTATTCTTAGCATTTTCTCCTTTCGTTTGAAACAACGTAGTTGTTTGTCTAGTAGAAGCAAGATCTTCAATCGTCAAGAAGTCCTCATCATATCAGAAGAGAATAGTTCATTCCCGTAAAAAGTTGCAGCTAAAGTCATCTACTACAGCATAATTCTGAGAAATTCCTAACGTTAATTTTTTCTTCAGGATACCCTTTGGAGCAGCCACTGATTATGAAACATTAACCACCACAACAACAGTTTTGTCAAATATTGATCGAAATACAAATCTGACGATGAAGAAGATATTCAATAAATCGAGTATTAGTTTAGTATCAACAAACAAGCTGAACAAAAAGGAAAATTGCTTAGTCTATGAGATTTTGCTATACCCTCCCCCGCTCCAATACAATATTTCTCAAATTAAGGCTAATTTTAACTTTTTAGTATTTCGATTTCATTGTATTATCGAGAGCAATATTCAAATCAAATATAGTCCGATTTGATATTACTCACAATGTAATTGGTATCGACTGCTTTCAAGAGACTTTCTTTAAGAGCGTTCAAGGACTCGTTTTGCATGAACTGCAAACAAACACACACAATTTTTGTGTACGTTTTTGATATTATTTATCTTTAATTGATAATAAGCACAAATTAGATATGATAAATATTCATATGAGAAGACACTGCTGCTCGTTTATAAACAAAACAAACTGAGCAAATGTACAATGCGTTTCAGCTTATATACCTATAGTTTTCATAAGATTCAACAGCCAATCGACAAAGAATGGAATATACCTCTAGTCCAATCAAAAATGAAAAAGGAGACTTTGCAACCGAACAAATGTCAAAATATGTTGCCCATTCTACGGTTGTTGAAAGAATATTTGAGAATATTTAGATTTAAGTCTCATACGATTTCATGAAAGAATTATGATGAAGAAATTTAAGATGTTAATGTACTACGTATTTGGTAAAAAACGGATTTTATTTTCACGCACTTCTTCTATTCCAGAACATTGCTATGAGTTTGTGGGATCATCCATTGATATAACAGATTTTCCGAGATTAGTTCCTTTTATTTTATTGATTTTAAATGCAACATCTTTTTTTCTAAAACATCAAGTTTATCTGGTAGGAAAATACCTTCAGGAATCATTTATATATTTGTTTGTTATTGATCATTAAAGGATTGATAGTTGCATAATAAATAGTACTTACAGGGAAACTGTTGTGCCTGCTATTTTCTCTCATTTTGTTACCTAGCAAATCATAATCCTTTCGAAAACAACCGTTGTCTAATAGAGGAGTGATTTGTGAAATTGTTTATGAGTGACGTCAGCTTACATTAAGTGATTATCGTGAAATGATTTGCTAGACGTAAATTGCGTTGAGTTTGGGATAGGGAGAAGTTTACTATTTTAGAATAACACAAGTAATTCCTGTATTAGTACGATGTCTGAAGAATTGTCTCAAACCTGCATGGTTATGCAGCAGTACTCTTCTTTACTTTATATATTTCATTAAAAAGCAACGTCAGGAACTTATGTTTTGAGTTTCGCAGTATGTCATATTATATGTCAAACACTATACTTAATCATATCGAACTCCGTTAATATGATTTGTACAGTTATTTCTGTTTGATTAATTATTTAATTAGCTGATAAACAATGATTTTATTTTGTATAAAAAGTGTTTTATTCTTTTCCTTTTAGATATTAAACGATGACTGAAAATATGATGAATGTATGAATGAATCACGCCACTGTATATATGATTTTATTACACCAACTGTCATTGTTTACTTCTTTTTTTCTATAAATCAGCAGTCATACAAATCCTTTACATTCTACACCATGTAACCAAAATTTTCAGACTTTCAACATGATCTGACTTTCTAAAACTACCACAGCATTTTTAGCACAAAAATGAAAGTGTTAGAGTTTTGTAGTTATTGCCAGGTTCAAGGTGAGGTACTTTTCGCAGATTTTACATTTGATTACGAAACTTGGCTGGTTATGAACAAGCTAAGTATTCAAATTTTAATAATTCTATAGTTGATTTTTGGAAATTTACTTCTACTGTATTATGACAAGTTGAAGGAACGAAAATATCAGCTGTGTGTGTCAGTTTGAAAGCATAGGCGGCGCAGCCAGTAAACTTGATCCACCGCTGGTTTTACAATAAAAACACACATTTTCATTAGATTTGGTTTCTCATGTTCCTCATTTATTTTTCTTTCCAAAATATTTCCTATGAAAAGAGATTATTCAGTCACATATATGATAAGGTAGTTCTTACCCTTTAATTTAACTATACCATTCAACTGAGCATCTAGAAATGAGTAGAAACATCGTCTAGGCCTCTATATCGGAATCCTAAATGGCCCATCGACGCACTTATCAAGTGTTTATGCATGTTTTCAACTAAGCATCCAGAAATATAAAATCGACGACTGTGAGCACAACGTCACCCCGTCAAAACGTTCATAACGTCGGAAAATTTTTTTTTTCAACATACTGTCTCGGCCTTCTTTATCTTTGCCAATACATGAAGATGAAATATTAAAATATTGTTGACTACTTTTCTTTATAATTACCTTTTAGCTTCTAACGAAACTTTTACACAATGTATTCAATAATACACATACCGTTTTTTAAAGAATAAAATATCGTAATGAAAATATTTTGTTTATCGTTCTAATGGTTTTCAGTTTTGATGCTGATTCTGGATATGAGATTATTTTTGATGAAAACAGTTAAATTTTGGCAGCGAAAATGATAAAATACGAGCCGAATTTTAGAGTTTTTCCACTGAATTTTTCCTCAACGAAGTAAAATTTCCCAAAAAGGATACGTAACTTTTTTCTCACAGATATGACATAATAGTTAGGATGCAGAAAACATTTTGTCTCCGAAATCCGAAGACTAGATAAGTTTGCAAGTTCGACAAGACAAGTTTTCCACTTCCAGTCGAGTTTCGTTTCTCCAATCATCATTTTTATAGTTGGCACCTTAACATTTTCGCTTTTCTTTATATTGTCGATCTAAGACAAAATATAGCGGTCATAAAAAGAAATACCATTGACAAGCCGTTTTCAGAAGTTAATGACCACTCGTTTTCAAAATACGTCCGCTTCAGATCGTGAACTAGCAATGTACGATCAAACTAAAAAACGGACAGTTATTGACACAGGCAACAAAGCTTCAAATGCAGCTGAGAGTAGATATTACGTTCGCATAATAAAGTAACAGCAGTAGTTTCCATTTTATTGAAATACATATAATTAAATTAAAACGAAATATTTCAACGTTTCGAACTTTTAAAGTTCGAAACGTTGAAATATTTCGTTTTAATTTAATTATATGTATTTCAATAAAATGGAAACTACTGCTGTTACTTTATTATGCGTACTAAAATTTTTGCCCATTCATAAAGAAAAAAAGATATTACGTTGCCCACCGAAAGTTTTTCATCTAGTAAGAGACCAAGGTTGGAACTACTTATGCAGCAGATTATCAATGAGATCCTTAATAACCCCTAAGGCATCCGTAACGGCACTACATGGGGAGTTTGAAGGGCAGGTATTTCATTGGAGACAGTCGACTACGGAAGTGTTTGAAACAGATTTCGGAAGAAGCTCTATTTCCGTTACTTTTTTCACTCGTCAGCCTTCATTGAACGAAAAAAGTTATCATGTCAATGAAATTTCTATTTATATGTTTACTTAGTCTGCTTGAAGTAGAAAAAACAAACGTATACGTATATACTAAATAAGGTTACATCCGTGACCTTTAAGGACAAATTATCACTTGAATTACTCATACTTAGGGGACAAAGTTTTCGACCAATGAAAATCAAGGAATAAATCTACTTCCAAAATCTGTTTTAAACATTCTATTAAGTTTTTCTTTCTAACTCGCTTTTCAATAATTCGTATTCACTCAGAAAATTTACTTAAAACTAATGAATTTACGCTCATCAGAAATCGAAATCAAACTAGAAAAAGTAATAAACAATAGACAATCAACTGTTTAAGATATATTCAAATAACAAAGCTGAGGAAATAACTGACTGTGAAAGATTATTCTAGTCAGTCATTGCAGACCCAAAAAAGAAGATTCTATAGCTCCAGAAGAAAAAATTTGTGTAGGAAGTGGAATACAAACATATTTGTGTGTTGGTCACGAGGAACAGAGAAAGTAGGTGGTTGTGAAATGATTCACAGATCAAGAACAGAAAGGAAAAAATATATCATCCAGAGCACAACAATAACCAAGTTTAGAGAGAATACGAAATAAATAGATTCTGTGCTATACCTTAGGTGAAGCTAGGCCAAATATACACTCTAAATCATCAAGCTTTCGCCTGCAGCTCAGACCAATATCTTCAGTATCTGAGTCCCATCTGAGGTCGTGCGACTGAAGGACACCAAGACTACGCGCAGAAGAACAACAATAAGCGGAGAGTTATTTGAATAGAGGTGATTGAAAGAATAAAAAAAAACCGGAATCCCCGGATAAAAGGGGTTCATCTGTTGATCTTTTTAATTATGGCACGTGAATTATCAATTTCTTCGTTCTTTGCGAAGCTCTACCAGAACATATATGATCCACACACTTTCTGCTGCGAGTTAAACATTGACCGACCGATGATAAATGGAAAATCGTTGCTAATCCTCTACACCGTGCTTTTTCCATTCAAAATTTGCGAAATGGATACTAAAAAGCAGGTTTTACTTAAAAACACACTCAAATTTTTCCAGGATAACCTAAGTCTCAACTTTTTAATTTTTAAATTCAGTCGGTAACCGTGTCCGCCATTATAGTCATCTATTTTTTTTATGGATACTACTAATTTCCGTGTCATCCTTAAATTTCAGGATAGGCTTTAAGAATGGCCAGTTTCAACCGGAATATCTGCCAAATAAACAATCATTTAATGGCTGTTTATTTGAAAGATATTCTGGTTGGGTGTTACCAGCGGTGTTACAGCGGCGAACTTCCACTAAAATTTATCTCGATAATGGGCTTTTGGATTAATATGCTAAATTTCTTGCATGAAGAAACTTTTACCTTGTTAATATCAGTACTTTTACTTGCGTGGAAAGAAATCTTTACTTGCAAAGTCTACTGTATTTAATCATCATAGGAAAAAGCTAAACTGAAGAAAGGAAAGCGAAGTATGACTTTATACTTTTGTGTGAGTGTGCTGCTTTTATTATTTAAACTTAGATGGAGCCGTATACACGCGCACACGTAATTCAAGTAAGCCTCTGCGGCTGTTCGATTGGCTATTAAACAAGTCAATCAAAACTGCAATTTAGGAGTAATACTTTCTCTTTTTGTTCTTTTTTCGACGACACGACATAATATAACACGTTGTTTTTTAGCGATTTATTCGATGTGTCTTCTCACAAATACGCATCATAGTTCCTGTTCTCTATATCGGCTTCTTCTAGATCTCACGTATAATGCTAAACGTTTCTGAAATTATGAAATGTTAAGTGTGAGTTAGGATTTAATGGACTAGGGAAGAGCAAGTGTGAAAAAGTGACCCTTCTCGTCGGTCTATCGCCT